TAAATCTAGATCTGAATATTATTACTAAAGTACTGAATTCTCTGAAAAAGAGATTCTCTGAGTGAAAATCTTGATATTATAAGCATCAAGCTTGCTTCAACTGCAGATGCTAAAATCATGATATAAAAGATTACACTCAGTGTGCATAGTCAAGAGAAGTAAGAGAGTTAAAAAACTAGTAGAATCAGTGAGCTCAGAGACACTCACTGATATTCTATAAAAAGTCTTCAAAGTGAAAGAAATGTCTGTGTTAGATGATTCTCTGAATTCTGTGAATATCAAGAGAAAGCAGACTCTTGAATGAGATGCAGATGAGAATGATAAAGCAGATACTTATCTCAATATCTTAAGATCTGAAATGTTAATGTATAAGAAGTACTTGAATAAGAATTAAGAGATAACTATAAAAGTGTTAGCAGACATAGAAGCTTCTATATAATATATTAATAATTATATAATCTGAAGACTGAAAGAGATCTGCTGAGTGAAGAATTTCTGATGTATAAGATTACTGAATAATTAATATTTAATATTATCTGTAAGAGTAAGATTTTTCTTGCACTTTAAAGAATAATCTTACTATATTTGAGTATAAGAGCTGCAGAACATGAAATATGATCTTATTCTTGAACTTAATTGATTTCAAAGATTCAATTCACAGATTCAATAATGTATATGTCATATGTAATTGACTGATAGAAAGAAAACAGTTCATATAATTCTATTAACTGATATGAGAAGAATATTTCACATCTCTGATATAGAAGAATTAAATCTGCTTATATATTAATAAGCAAAGAGAATGATTTATAAGACCTCATCTGAAAGCATTCTATATGTTATACAGAATCTGAAAGTGAAGAAAACTAAGATAAAGAATATACAGAAGAATAAGTATATGAAGAAGCTTCTGAAGAAGTATGAAAAGATCTTCTGAACAGATCTTTCATCAGAATTATTACTGAAACAAGAATTTATACATGAGATTGATATAGAGAATATAAAATCAGTTAATTAGAATGTGTACTCTCTGTTACAAACATATCTGAAAGAACAGAAGTATCAGATCACAGACCTTCTAGAATATAGTCTTATATAATTCTTATCAAGCATGTAAGGCTTTTCAGTTCTATTTATGAAAAAGACAGATGAAGAGTGATGAATGTGTATTAATTATCAAGTACTCAATAAGCTTATAATCAAGAATAAATATTCATTATCACAGATTCAATAACAGTTGAATATAGTTGAAAATATCTGATATCTATCAAAGATCAATCTTCTCTCAGAATACTGATAAATTCATGTAGATGAACTATCAGTTCTGTAAACTGTATTTAATATACAATGAGAGAAATTCAAATTTCTGATAATACTATTCAGTCTGACAAATGCACTTATTATCTTTTAAATAATGATGAATACAATTCTTTATAAACAGAATGAAATCTCATATCTTATATATCTCAATGATATTCTAGTCTTTTCAAACTCATACAATGAATATCTGAAGTATCTTGATAAGATGCTTATAACTCTGACAGAGTATAAGCTCTATATTAAATTAACAAAGTGTGTGTTTAAAACAGAAGAGTTAAAGTTTATAGAATATGTAGTAAGTGATGACTGTATACATCTCATTTCAGAGAAATTGAATGTTATAGTGAATTAATCACAGCTGAGAAATATATATTATGTATAACAGTTTCTTAAGTTAGTCTCATATTACTGTAGATTTATCAAGGATTTTATATAAATATCTGCATCACTCTCAGATCTTTTAAGAGAAATAAATACAAATCTGTGAAAGAAGAAGTTTTATTCAATCATCTGAAATACTGTGTGTGAAGAGGCTTTTCTCACACTGAGAGAATATATAATAATATTCTCAGTGCTTATTCAATCAGATTGTGATAAATCTTTCTATATTAAGATGAATGTATCTGAATGAGCTATTAGAGACACTCTTCTACAGATGAGTAAGAATGACAAGCTGCATTCAGTGATATATAATGATAGAAAACTATCAGATGCTGAGCTTAATTACTCAGTATATGAAAAGAAATTGCTAGTAATCAAGCACATGCTGATATTGTGAAATAGATATATTGACAATGAGTATATAACAATGATGATCATAGATCATGAAAGTCTCATCTATCTATAATTAATGATAAAACCTTTCAAATGCTTAGTATATTGAATCTCAGAGTTTCAAGTGTGTAATCTTTATATCAAATACTGAAAGAGATTGAACACTGTGATATCTGATACAATCAGTCACAGATCTGACTTCATGAGTGAGAGTTCTATAAATCAGATATAAGAAAAGTTTATATTAAACACACTGAGAGAGTGCAAGAAATCAGAATGAGTGAACATAATAATCTCTTACTTAAAGAATAGCAAGATGTCAGATGACAAGTGTCTCATGAAAGTAGTAGAAGAGATGCTTTCAAACTTCAAGCTGAGAAAATTAAAAAATGATGTTATGCTTTACTGTGATCTAGAATATGTAAAAGCTCTCTATCTAGAATATTCATTTAGATATGACTTGATAACTTACATACACAAGGAATTCAGTCACTTAGAAAGCTCTGAACTTATAAGTGTACTTAAATCAAGAGTATACTGGTCAAGCATGGCTGAGAACATTCAGATGTACACTTATAAGTGTCTGAATTATCAGGTTGTGAAAGAAGTCAATAAAGAGTTAGAATGCAAGAAAGTATAATATCAGATGAAGTGTATAATACAACTGTTTAAACAATAGAGATGAATCTTATAGATATATTACTGTGAAATGTTAAATAGAAATCAATGAATAATCACTGCTATTGATTACACTACTGACTGACCAGTCTCAAAAGCAGTTTCAGAGATGATAGAGAAGATGATAGTGAAGTTTCTACATGATGAGATCTATGTTAACTATGAAATGCTGCATGAGATTCTAACTGATAACAGTGTGAATCTCATAGAAGAAGTGATGAGGCATTTCATGAGTTAGTTATAGACAAGATATCATAGAACAATACTATATCATTCACAGATAAATGAGAAGATGAAACACTTGAATGAAATCTTGAGTAACATACTGACAAAATATCTAGTGAGTAAGTCTATGAGACTATGAGATGAATATCTCAGACAGATGCTATTAATCATATAAATTCAATAGTATATAGTCTTCAAGTATTCATCATTCTACCTGTTATATGAATTGCATTCACACATCTCGGAGAATGCTTCAGAAAAGATGAGAGAGAAAACAGTAGTTACAGATGCAGTAGTAGCAGTTGTAAATATAATAGTTGTGAACACAGAATCAAGATTGAAAGAGATCAGCCATGCATGTATAAAAGTTAATAAGTTACTCCTGAACTGAGCAATTCAATTAAAAAGAATATGAGACTCACTAGTTAAGAAATTAAGTCTCAAGATGAGAATATAAGTTCTTATATATAATGAGAGTTCTGAGAAGTTTCAATCTAGATAATTTAAGTCATATAAAATACTCAAATCACATTCTCTGAAAACATATGTATTGAAAGAATCAGAGAGATGAGTCTTATACAACTTAATAAATGATTCATAACTTATAAAAGTAAAGATATAAGACTCAAGTGAATTATAATTATTCACAGCACTATCATCAGTATTGAAAAAGAAGAGACTTATAATTAAAAAGTCTTACAAAGTAAGAGAAATCATAGATACTTATAAATCAGATAATCTCACTTATTTCAATCTTTTCATAATTATAAGAAAAGAATGAGAAGTAATGAAGAAATCAGATGAATATCACACTTTAATAAGTGATAAGACTGTAGCTGATTATATAATAACACACTGCAGACAGCAGACACAATGTGACAAAGAGTAGTCTCAAAGCAGCAGACTTGCACATGAGTCAGATTACAGAAGAAAAAGAAATTCAGAGTTAAATTTGACTGTTTATATCAATTTAATTACAGAGATCACAGAGAATGAACTATCTGAAACATTCACAGATACATGAGACTAAGTCATCTCAATCTCTGAAAACACTCAGAGATTGAGTGAGATTAGTTTCAATAAGCTGTTTACTGTAGTGATCTGAGCAGGTGAAGAGGAACAGTATAATACATGAGACAGAATTACAAAAGATGAAAGCTGCTGAATCTAGTCACTGAATGCTGTATTATATAGAGATCATGTAAGAGTAGTAGCTAGTAGACAAAGAAAAAGTGTAAGAAAAGAAAAGAGATAATAAATTAATTATCAACTGTAAGAGTCAGCTGTAAAAGACAAATATTATTATATATATCTCATTCATTTTTATATGTTACATATTTAATCTATTTTCAATGTCACATCATCTGAAAAATGTCAAAAATAAAGAAAATCTCAAAACTTGAGATCTGTAAGAGATTCAAGAGCTATAAGTCACTCTTATAATAACACTGTGCATATCTCTGATTTCTCTATCACTCTGTGTATAACATTAATGTCATTTATTACAAGATTGACTGGAATGCTAATATAGAAATGCATACATATATATGTAGAAAAATTGAAGAAGAGTATGAGATCTGCAGAATCAGAGGTCAGAGTAGAAGAGACAGAGATAGAAGAAATAGAAGAAGAAGAAGATACAGAACTGAATAAACAATGATGAGAGTCACTCAGAGCTGAACACTTATAATCTGATATATATACAACCTTCTCTGCAGAGAAGGAAGAGAAAGTGACAGAAGAAGCTTAAGAGTAGAAGAGAATAGTCTCAGCAGTGTTATTATCTTCAATTAAAATAATCTCTGATACTGAAGTAACTAAGAACTATTATTAGCATATAAAACTGTAAAGACAGGAATAACAATTACTGAATAAATATCTACTGATCTTAGAATTGTACATGTAATTATAATATACACAAGACTTCTTAGAAAGAGAGAGAGAGACATAAGAGAATACAGAAAGTAGAACACAGTATGTGAACAGCTCATTTTCATAATAACATCTCAGATAAGATGAATAAGTCTCACACTCACAGATGTAAAAGAGTACAATATCTGCATTTCTCTTTCTGAAAACACAGATATCTTTTATCTGTATCATGAAGTCAGATAATAGATATTAGAGAATAGGCTGATACAGATCTATTATCTTAAAGAAATTCATTAGAGTGAATATTCTTATAATATTGAACTTTACAGTTATAAAAAGTTCCTTAATATCTGTGAATATCATGACTTTATATATAATAAAACTCATAATAATTTTCTCTAAGAACAGGAAAATCAGTGTTAGAAAGACAAGATGAAAAAGAAAAAGACTTACAATCTTAATACTGTTGAAAAGAGAGATAATTCTCTGATATAAATGAATGATTATCTCATTATAAATATTTAAAATGAATGTAATAATCAGTATCTGTGACTGAGCTTCAGATAGTTGTGTTATATACAGTCTTTATATAATAAATTGTTCTAGAGATCAGCAAGAAGAGCAGAAGTATACACACTGAGAAATGTGATTTATTAAGTCTATACAACATCTTCTTGAAACAAGAAGAGCTGATAATGAAAGCAGAGATGACAGAATCAGAGAGAGCAGAAGTAGCAGAAGCAGGAGAATCAGACACAGAGACAGAGATAGCAGAAGCAGAAGAATCAGACACAGAGACAGATATAGAAGATTGAGAGAGAGCAGCAGAGAAAGAAATAGAGAAGACAGAAGAGAATATGAAAGACTCTGTTATATATAATACAGACAATTTCTTCATTATTACATTCTTTAAGTTCTTGATCAATAATTCAATATTGAGTTCACTATCATTAGTGAATGTGAATCTGTTAACATATGAAAATTCTATATAAATAAAAATAAACATATCAGCATCTGCATTTATGTAAAATCATGTCAGAAAATATGATCAGAAACCTGCTGAGAAGAAAAACAGTCAAGAATATATAAGAAGATGAAGAAGATATGTCACTTATAATAATATATTCTGATAATTATTAGAAGATAAATAAGTTCTGATTACATTTCACAATATATTACACTTACTGCTAATGAACTGCTCAGTATGAGTACTATAATGATGCTTATTATAAGAACAGAGAGTCATTGCCAGAAATGCATACAATGTAATAGATGAACAGATAGAAAAGAGTTAAACAGAAGAAGAGATAGAAATCTTGAATAAGATAATAATGTTTGATAATAGTGATAATGAAGAAGATAATTGAAGAATGAAAAAAGTTAGTGAATGAGTGATGTAATATAGTGAAAGTTTCTTTGTGAGAATGTACATGAGATACTAGCCAAATCAGAGATAGATCACATAATCGCGAACACTAGTAGCACGCTAATCCGCATGAAGCTAGGACAGATGTCATGATCATGTGAGTGTGACTGAATCTGATGAAAGAGGATGTGATTTGAAAGAACATATGACTGTTGAATAATAATGCAGCCGCTTCTGAACTTGCTTATAAATGTAAAGAAGTCATAGCGGCCACTAATTAATTTAGTGTATGATATATAAGAAGCCGGCGTACGCCTGTAATCGTATGCTGACTCAAGCAACCTTTGAATCACATATGAAAGACCTGATATAAGAGAAAACAGAGTATAAGTTATTGTAAGATCTTCTATTCAGATTGTCTGAACTGTAACTGAAGAATGAATATGCTCAGTATATTCAGAAACTGCTTATAACAGAGATTAATTCTGCAGAAATAAAGAGTTAAAGAGACTTAAATAATCTCTTATAAAGAGAGAACTGAATTTATATACCTGTGAATAAGTTTCTATACATAGAACTTATTAAAAGATATCATGACTCTTCTCTAGTGAGTCATTTTATAGATACTAGAACTTATGAGTTACTTATAAGAAAATACTTCTGACTGAAGATGCAAGAACTTGTGAAGAAGATAGTGAATTCTTATATTATTTATCAGAGTTTGTGAGTAGTATGATTCAGATTATATAAAGAACTTACTCCTCTACTCATTCTACAGAAATCTTGAGAACAGCTAGAAATGAACACTCTTATAAGCCTCTCTGAAAGCAAGAACATATATAATACCTGCTTTGACAGTGTGCTGATAATAGTGAATCACTTTATCAAGATGACACACTTTATACTCATCTGTAAGAACTTGAAGTCAAAGAATTTAACTTATATCTTCATCTGTGATACAATTTAATTGCATGAATTATCTATGAATATTGTCTCAGATAGAGAATTAATCTTTATAGAGAAGTTCTAATCTGATCTGATAATGATACTGAAGATCTCATAAGATCTAAGTATGACTTTTCATTAATAGACAGATGATTAGACAGAATATCTGATGAGTATATTAAAACAGTATCTGTGATACTTTGTCAATTATAATCAGAATGACTGAGTGTATTAATTATCACTTATAAAGTTTATATATAACAACTTAAAGCATGTCAGTATAGATAACACTCTCTTTGAGATACTTACTAAGACTTATTTATGAATGATCTTGATGAATCTGTGAGAGTATACTATAGAGTGTGATGATACTCATGAACAGACTAAGAGAATTCAGAATATTCAGAAGAAAGTCTGTAAATTCTTGAGAAAGACTCAAGAGTATCAGAAGAGATACTATAACTTTAAGTATATTATAAAGAGTTTTAAGAAAGATAATAGAGTCTAACTGAGTTTAAAAAATATTATTATACAGAGATCTAATAAGAAGCTGAATCTCTTACAGACAGAGTCTTATAAGATTATAAAGAAAGTTAGCTTATAGTTCTATAGATTAAAACTGTTATCTGAGTTACAGATGTATAATATTTTTCATATCTCTTTACTTTATAAATATAAGAAATTCTTAGAAGAGAACTCTGTGACTCAATACTCTATTTACAAAGTACTAGAGAGTGAAAGAGAATATCAGATTAAAGAGATTATTAACTCAGAGAAGTGAGATTATAAGCTCTGATTCAAGATTCAGTGATAAGAGTATTCTGATAAGATGAGTAAGTTCACTTAAGAATCATCTGAGTAGATAAGATATCTGCAGAAGCTGAGATATAACTTTCATACTATAAATTCTGATAAGTCAGAATAATATAATCTTTACTAAGAATCTGATTGTGATAAAGATATTAATACTGTCATTTACAAACTCTAATCTATAAGATAATGAGTTTCTACTGAGATGAACAGTTCACAGTGTATGCAAAGAGAAGAAGAAATCATGTTCTTATTAAAGTTAAAAAATAAGAAAATAGAAACAGAGCTGTGAACACAATTTAGAGACTAATAAAGAAAAAATAAAGAAAACTTATATTCATATTCTTAATATCTGCAACACTTAATTCTCTTATAACTATTAATTTCTCTCTTCAAAGAAGCAGAGAGTATTATACTCATAGTACAGATGATTATTGCATTTGATATAAAGACTGTTGAAAATACACAGACTTCAGAGAAGCTGAATATCAGAGTGTATACAGTTACAGCAGAGTCTTAAGAGCTGATCATCTGTGTGTGTGACTAGATATCTCTTATAAAGCTGTGTTCACTTTCTCAGTTATGCTGAAGTATTCAGCCTGAAAACAATTGAGATATGAAGAGAGAGCTCATCTATTCAGATCAACTCTTATCACAAATTCATGACATTTACATTGTCTTGATTATTTAGATTTTGCAGGTATCTGAAAACTCATCTCTTATTGACAATGAGATTGTGAAAATGCACTGTGGTATGAGAATCATTGATAGAGAACCTAGGCATATTTGCATATACCTGGTCAGAGATTGTACAGATAGAGAAGAGATGATTGTAGGCCTGTAGAACTGCAGAAGACACTGACAACACTGAGAGCTTTATAAGAACTGTCAGCTAGAATCTGTAAGAAATTACTTACAGAGAGACTTACAGCAAAGAGTGAGACTGCACTGCTTGAAGTCAGAAACTGATCTGAGAAAGACATGAGATTGACTGCTGGCCTGAAGATCAGATGCAGTGACAAGACTGAAAGAGATAAAGACACTGTTATAAGTGATGATATCTCTGCTTCATCAGTCAGTAAAAAGTGATCAGAGAAGTTACAGAGATACTTATAAGAAGCTCAGCAGCAGTCAGACATTGTTTATAAAGATATTGAAATTAGAAAAATTTTTATTCTTGAGAAGTTCTTGAATCAATATACAGATATTGTTAGAAACACTCTCTCTCTATCATCTGAGTAAAAATACTTCACAGATGAATGAGAATACTCACAGTTTATAAGAATGAAAGCTGTTACAGAAAAAGAAAAAAGAAGAGGAGATTTTATAAACAGATCTGAGATATTTATACTACTCTAGAGAGATTTACTTACACTGTGAATGATTCTATAGAACAGTCAGATTACTCTAGTAAATAAAAAGTGATTATGAATTACAGATCTGAATCTTTCTATATGACTATAAAGAGTGATTGCAGACTGTGAATATCTTGATTCTATAATTCTACAGAGTTAGTAAAAGAATGGAAAATTTCTCACAACTCTACAGTATTAAAGAACAATGATTTATAAGAATAAGTGAAAGATTAACTTACAAATACTTCTCTTTAATAAGAGTAATCTCACAGAGAGTGATTCATCTGTGAGATGAATCTGTGTGATAATCACATAAGAATCTCATGAAAATAATTGAGAGTCAACTGAAACTCTTCTATATGAAAGATATGAGATGAATCTATATGATAGTCAGAGAAGAATCTGTAGATTATAAAGAATCTCACAGAATAAGAAACTGAGTGATAGACTCTTTTCTCTTTATAGTAATAAGTAGACTGGCCGCCAGGACCATGAATTTCACATTTGATTCCATTTGATCTAGTCTCATACATTTCTTGGCGTGAATCCCGCTGGGACTGGCTATCAAAAAAACATGTAAAGTGACTATATATCAGATCTTAAAATGGAACCATGACTTGAAAAAAATGAGAAAGTTGTCTCATTTGATCCCATTTGGTCCCATTCTTGGCATAAAGTTACTATTTTTAGACATTTTAAGGTTTTTTTTAGACTATTTTTAATTTTTTAAAAAGTAACGCTTTTTGGTAACACTTAAATGAGATTTAAAGTCATTTAAAGCAATAAAAATAATTTAAATTGAGAAGTGGAAATCATGATCTCATTTGGAAAATGTGACAAGAGTAGACAGTAAGTCTCACTGGAACAGTATGAGACTACTATCTAATGTTAAAACTGTGTAATGGGATCAGTCGAATTGGTAATGAGACTATCAAAAAATCTGGTCCTGGTCCCAGACACGGTCACACGGTCAGTCTAGTAATAAGAGATTTTTCCTCACTGAGATTTTTTATAGATGTGAAGAGTTTTTAGTGAGTATTACTACAGTGCTGAGCTGATTCTATGAAGTCACTCAGTGAAAGACTTCACAGATGAAATCTTAGAGAGGGAAGAATATGTAAGAAATCTCACTTCTCACAGATTCTTTATCTTTATTTCTATCTCTTACATAATTAATAGAGTTAGCAGCTCTTGGCTACATATAACTATATAGACTGAAGTTCACAAATACTATTCATAACTCAGCTTGAATGCTATTATACATTTAATCTCTATAATTTATCTTTCTACTGTGAATACTTCTAGTAGTTAACAGTACATATCACGCCAAGCTGCAAACACCTGAATAATCGCCTGCGAGCACTTATTCTTACAAGAAGTAAGATAAATGTCAGATCTACTCTAAATACTCTCTCTGTACTGAATGCTATCTTTTCAGACAGTGAGTATAAAAGTGACTCTGTCAGTGATAATGAAGATAATAATAACAGTTAACTTCTCTCTGAACA